GCAGCCGCAGGCGGCAGGCGAACTTCCTTTTCCTTAGCCATGTGGTTAAATCGAATTGGCTCATAGTCCTCCTTTGCTCAAGTCTAAGGTTTGAGAGAATTTACGAGGTTAATACATTAGGTCCAAAGAATGGAGGGGTAAAAGAAACGCTGATCTTAAGGATTTACACAATTGCCGTGATTGTGTAGAGTTTGGCTTTGAGCTGCCTGGCAGTCAGGACTAAAAGAAATAAGCTATGCTCTCAGCTTTAAGCATCTTCTGGGAGACAGGCACTTTCCCATATCTCAATTTTCCCATATCTCAATCAATCCCTCAGGAATCCTGAGGGAGTTCATAGGATGAGGAACTAAAATGTGCTGGTAACTGGAAAAGAAAAAGTGAAATTGGGAGAGGGAGGAAAGGAGAGAGTGGGGTACAAGACGAGGGTTCTGAGTCCAGGCTGTCGGGCATGTGGAACCACTCTAGATTTCTAAACATCTGAGTGTTTCAGGAACAAAGAAAGCTCCTTTGATGACATTACACAACCTCAGAGCAAGGACAGGGCACCTGACATCAAACACCAGTCTGACTCATGCTCCTGCCACCTCCAGGCCAGCCCACCTGCCAAGTGAGGCACCTGCCCCTCTGCATCTGTCCCCTTCCCTCTTTACAAGCCTGCCCCTTTTATCTCATTTCTCAAATGAGAGTTTCACCTGTGAGGGGGTTGCCTAAACATCTGTGAGTCAATTCCCTCTTCCCTTTTCTGCTCAAGTTTACTAAGTGATTGCTAAATGGTCCAGAAGTGTGGTGGCTGCAACTGTTTTGATGTTACATTTGGAATAAGAAGTTCAAAGCTGGAAGTGGTACAGTAACTATTTGGGGGAGACTATAAGATCTTTTTGGTTTTTTACTAGTAATATTAACAAACCAAAATGATATACAATGTATACATTGTCATACATTGTTTACAACCTTAGGGTATTACTTTTCCTGGAAGTTATAGGCCACATAAATTCTTGAGATAACAAAACATTATAAACTCATTAGGTAACTTAGAACCATGCAGAAACGCCTTTATAAAAGGACTCCCCCTGAGCAGCCAGCGTGGCTCAGAGGTTGAGCATCGACCTATGATCTAGAAGATGAGGTTTGGTTCCCGGTCAGGGCACATGCCAGGGTTGCAGGCTCAATCCCCAGTAGGGGGCGTGCAGGAGGCAACCGATCAATGACTCTCTCATCATTGATGTTTCTATCTCCCTCCCTCCCTCTCCCTTAAATCGATAAAGATATATTTAAAAAAAAAAAAAGTCCCCCTGTGGGCCTTAACTTGCGGTGTTAATGAGGAATCCCTAACTGATCTGCTTTCTGTGTGAGATTTGGGCTCCCAACTCTGCTCCTAGGAAGCACAGGGTGCCCCAGGGGCTCTTAAGTCACAGCTCCACCTATCTTTGCTTAAATACTGGGTTTTGCATAAGATGTCACACGCTGGGATGGGGCTAGGCAGGTGGGGGCAGGAAGAGCCTGAGATGAGCCGAGACTGGGCCTGTTTATAGGATATGCTTCAAGTTGCTCCCTTTACAGTGGTAGATATTTGACAGATGCTTCATATTTTTGCCCAGTTTTCTTTGGCGCCAACCAGCAAAACACACCCATGAGAAGTTGGCTGGAGTGTGGGATACAGACTATGGTTCTCATTCATTTGGGATTGGAAGCTGAGCAACACACCATGGCGAGGATCATACTCTCCTGCACCCAACTGCAAGGGGCCAGACCCAGGAGGCCCCTGGAGACAACGTGGCGTAAAAGAACACACACGTCTGAAGGCAGCAGGAATGCCAAGGGGGAGGCCCCCTGCCTCAGCCCACATCCAGTTCCCTGACTCACACGCCTCCTAGAAACCAGTGACCTCTGCACTCCACTCTGATCCTGCCCCTTCACCAGCCCCAGACCTGGCTATCTACTGCCCACCTGGAATCTCTGCTTACCTGTAATATACACACTGTTTGGCCAGAACAAAAGCCTTGATTTCTCTTCCAAAATCTACTCTCCCCAGACTCTCCCCATTCAATAACTGCAGCAGCAATCAATGCCCCTGCTGCTCAAGCCAAGACTCTGGAAGGCACACTCTTTGATCCTATCCACTCTGTCAGCTCTTCTGAATGGCGGGTCTCAGACCTGGCTGAACCTGAGGGACTCCTGGGAGCTGTAAAGCATCCCAATACCCAGGGCCCTGCCCCACACCAATTAGAGTAGACTGTCTGGGGGAAGGGCCCAGGCATCAGTACTTTCAAAAAGCTCCCCAAGGGATTCTAATGTACAGTCAGGCTTGAGAATTCAGTGGCTTAAAATATGTTCCAAATCCAACAGCTTCTCTCCAGCTTCACTGCTCCCACCTCGGTCTGAGCCACACGTCTTGGGTGGACCACAGTACCTCTCACCTTCCTGTCCCCACCCAAGCACAAAGCCTGGTCACATCATGTCTTTCTGATGGCTTCCCACTGCCCTCAGAATACAGACCAGAGCTCTCAGGAGCCCACAGGCCCTACAGGACCTGGCTCCTGCAGCCCTTTCTGCCTCGTCCAGCCCCTTGCTCCCACTCACCACGCTTCGGTCACCCTGGTCTCAGTCCCGTTTCTCAGACATGCTGCAGCCTCTGGGCATTCGTACCTCCTCCCTCCTCTTCCCAGAAGGCTCTGCCCTAAGGTCTTCACTTGCCTGAGCTGCAACGTCATGTCACTCAGGTCTCGGCTCAAATGGCACTGCCTCAGAGAGGCATTCACACCGCCTTGATCTAAAGCAGCCCCCTTCGCCCCATAAAATTCACCAGCACATCACCCCGATTGCACTGTTTCATTGCCTTACAGCACTCGGCACTTTCTGAAATTACCTCTTTCAGTCACGATGTTACTGCCTGACCCTCTATGTGAGGATGTGAGCTTCAGGAGGGCAGGGATTTGGGTCTGTCTTGCTCACAGCTGTATCTGTTGCTCAGAGTAGAACCTCTCACATAGTTAACCTGTCTCTCAATAAACATGCCTTTCATTTTAGTCCATCCTCAGTGCCCCCAGGCTCCTCCTCACTGCTGCCAGAGTGGTCCTGGTAAAATGTCACTCTTGTTTAACATCCTCAGGGGCTCTAGACTGCCCCTCAGCACCCATCACCTGACCTGCTTCTCAGGCACTCCACCCACATGGCCAACCCTGGCCCATTCTCCTCCTAAGTCCTCACTATTCCCAACAACACCTCATCACCCAGAGGAGCCACACTCCTGCATTCCTGTGTCTTTGTGCATGGTGCCCCCTCTGCCTGGAATGTTGTCAGTGCCTTCCTGCCCTACAGCCCTCCCCTCCCCAGCTCACAAACACCGCTCTGATAAGAACTGTGTTTGGGTGTCACCTCCTCCAAGCAGTCCCCCCTGCCTAGACAGGTTAATGTCCCATCCTTGTTCTTCCGCTGCTTCCTTCTGCCACAGCCTCTATCACGCGGGGCTAGCTTCTCTAGACAGAGGGCACTCTGAAGGCAGGTACAGTGCCTGGGGCTTAACAGAAACCAAATTTAAGATGAGCAAAATATATTCTGCTCTTGTATCCCCAATAGCAAGGGCATCAAAAATTTCTCCGAATAAACCCTTAACTTGTTACCAGTATAACCAAGTTGATGCTGCAGGGAAAACTCTTTCATACCCTTGTGCTCTGGGACCCTTCCGAGTCTAACCATGTACCTCATGCCTTCAGGCGACAGCACTCACACTGGGCCGCCAGGCCGCCGCCTGCCGGTATGCGATCTCCACGGGCACATGCGTGAGGGGAGGCACTGTCTGGACTGGCTGGCTGCTGACATGTAATCAAGCTGGGAAAGCCGCTTTCCCTTGGGACATATTAATAGTCTACTATTTGAACCAGCAAGGACTGGAGCCCTTCGAGAAGGGGACTAGTTCAGGATGCAGCGTCTTTACTGAGCTACCCCTGGGGCGCACAGAATCGAAATCTGCGTGCCTACTGCCACCATCATTGGGAGCGCTTTCCCTTTCTTCTTTTAAACACACTCGCCCCAAGTACTGACACAATAAGCCACAGGAGGTCTTTATCAAACAGCACCCTCTCCTGCTTTTCCCATGCCCAATGAAAAGCAGGAAGGGGGGACTTATTACCAGGGTACTTTGACCTTCAATAGCCACTCGCATAGCTTGGTACATTTAGCTAAGTCATCCAGCAGAAGACCACTGCTCTACTCAATGACATTCCCCAGGAAGCACTTGCTGAGGCCTGAAACGGGCTTGTCCAGCTTTTCAGGAAAAGCTGAGCCTCGCCCAAAGTGAAGGCCATTCCCGTGCGGGTTCCTGGAACTGGATATGGCTTTAATTTTAAGTCCACCTAGCTCCAGTCCTGTCTTTGCTGCGGAGCCCTGTCCTGACCCAAGCCCCAGAATGCTTTCTGCTCCTCCCCTGGCTCCGGCTTCATGGTTGTGACCGCACCTTTCTCACTAGAGGCCAGGCTTCCCCTAGAACAAGCCCCTTCCCCAGCAGGTTCCATTAATGCGCACATAGTAACCATTAATGTGCACAGTGTATCTAACAATGTATACATAGTATCCAATAATGTGCAGAGAGTATCATTCACCCAAGACAGAGAGGCTGCGGCACAGACAGTGTTTCTTCCGTGGAGCCTGAATCCACTCCCCCACCCAGCCCTGGACCTCCTGCTCTCCACATTCCTGAGGTCAGGGGCAGCATGCGGGCTGTGGCCATGCCAGGGCCAGAGGAGGAGAGTGTGGGCTGGTCAAAACAAGCCCAGACATACTCACGGGGTCCGTCAGCATGGCCCGGCAGTGGGAAGCCAGGGCCAGGAACGCCAGCAGGTTGAACACAATCCCATTGATGATGCTGTACACGTAGTCTCGGGATGGAAGCAGCATCACAAAGAGGACCACAAACTCTGCGTAGAGGACCAGAAACCAGGTGACAATGGCACAGGCGATGCCGCAGCCATCGCGGATAAACCACATGGCTCCCACAGGGCCGGGGTAGGGAGGTGGGACACACTTCTCCGGCTGCAGGTATTCTGGCTTCCGCTCAATGTCTCGGAAGTGGTGGGTGGGGATAAGCATCATAAGCTATTCTGTCCATGCTGGCATCTGGAAGAGAGAAGACCCAGAATTTGTTGTCTTGTTATCAAGCAGATTCGACGAGATGACCAAAGTGAGCCAGGAGTATCTGAGTGAACCTCCTGCAGACAAGCTGCCTAAACCTTCCGTCCATTTGAAATGGGAGTTCCCGCCCAACTCCTGAGCACTAACAGCCCTTGTGAAACAGAGCCACCTTGCCCCAAGCAGTCGAGTGACAGATAACAAAAGTGAGCCTTCAAAGGGCAAATGCTTTGCCCAGGGTCAGCGAGAGCAGCGCAGCACACACACCAACTTGGAGGTGGACTAGAACTAGGTCTCTGCGTTTACTAGGGATCTGCTGCAAACAGTGTCTCACTAGGCATGTTTAGGCAAGTAAAGACCTAAAAGACAAAGGGGGGCAAGCCCTCTGGGAAATCTGTCTCCAGCAGTAACACCTCTACACCATGGACCGACCCAGAGGCCGATGCTGAGGCTGTCTGGGGTTAACGGGTGAGTAGGAGGAAAGTAGTGGTTGCCCAGGGCTAGCGTTAAGCTGCAACCATTGAGACAGTCCAACTTACTGCACTGCACTAGCCGGTGACAAGGGAAGACAGTCCCTAGGACGGGAATGTTCTTGAAACAAGCCAGGCTTTTCAGCCCTATGGCCAAAATGGTTTCTCCTCGGGGGATAAGCGACCAAGGATGTGGCTGATGGGGCAAAGTGTAGGAATGTTGAACAATGAGTCCAAAGATGTTTCCCCACCATCCTCACAGGGTTGGTGTGAGGGTTGGGGAGCTGGAGGTGCCTGTGATGGACGCTGTAGACTGGAGCACCCTGTATGCAGCACAGACTGTGCTCACGTGTCCCTCCCAGGAAACACACCCCTTCCTGCAGAAACCAGTACTGAACAATGGGCATCTTCTTCCTAACAGCTGCAGCCCAGGTCTCTGGATATGGCAATGAAGTGACTAAGAATCAATCACTAATGCCCATCAGTCCAGAGCATGCTCTGGGAGGCACAGCAAGAACAGATTTCCTGCCTCTCTCTCTTTATTTCAAATGCCATGGCCTGTTGTTTCACTACCCAGGTTCCTCAGTTAGAAATGATGATGGCTCCATTCACCTCCAGATGTAGGTGCCATGGAAAAGCCACCTCTATGTAGCACAGTCGCAGTCTTTCAGAAACTGGAGTCTCAGGGGGGATAAGTGGTGACGGGTGGAGACCTGAGTTGAGGTGATGAACACGCAATACGGTGGACAGATAATGTGTTGTGGAATTGTGCACCTGAAACCTGTATAATTTTGTTAACCTGTGTTACCCTGATACATTCAATAAAAAGGGAAAAAACCCTCAAGTCACCTCAGTCACTCAAAAGCAGCACCAGCTGCCTTTCTGCCGGCAAGGGCAAGTTTTCAATGGCTGTTAGATTATCTTTACCCTCTGCCCAAGTTTCCTTCTCCCTCTACTGCCCTCAACAGAGGGCGAGCATTTGGATTGAATGCAGCACAGTCAGGAAAAGTAGGATGTGCCCAGAAAGCTGAGCGGGCAGAGCAGTAACCACTACTCAAAACGACAGACATTCTGGAGTCAAAGGCTGCACCTACTACTAATAAAGGAAGGTCAGACCTTCCTCTCCCACCGCGGCAGAGAACTGATGGTTCACAAGCAGCTAAATGTGTACCGTGGACCTGTCCAGAAAACATCGACTCAACAAATACCGAGTGACTATCGTATCCTGGGTACACTGAGTTGGGAGCTGGGGAACCAGAAGTCACGAGCAGAGTAAAAGCAGTGGTTCCTGATGTCCGTCAGCCAGAACTTTCTAACAGCAACCTGTGCTCTCTACAAGACAGGAAGGTGCCAGTGGCAACCCGGAGGCATGAAAAAATGCAGAGATACCTTCTGGGGCACCAAACAGGACAGCAAGAGATCAGACTAGGGATGTCTACACCTTGACTTGTGCCCTGAAAATTCTAAACTGTGCAACCAAAACCAAACAAACAAAAAGTGAAATCCCACGAAATCACACAATGACTCAAAGGCTGACTGAAGCGCAACATTTCGACACCTTCTAGATACAACCATTCTCTTGGTTTTTCCTGCTGCCTACAGATTTGTATGTATGTCGCCAATGTTCTCACAATTACCATTTAAGCTCTGTCAATAAAGTTTTATTGGACCACAGCTATATGATTCGGTTACACACTGCATGTCTGATTCGCCATTACAATGGCAGAGCTGAGTGGTTCTGACGGAGACTGTGACCTGCCAGCCCAGAGTACTTACTCTCTGGCACTTTACAGAAGTCTGTTGAGGCAGTTGTTACCCACCAAATACAAGGTGGAGCAAAAGTAGGCCTACAGTTGTTTGTATGGAAAATAGTACAATAATAATAATACAAGAATAAACTCCTGTGTTTCGGGTACTCGCAACTGTAAACCTACTTTTACCCCATCCTGAAAACAACTGAGATCCACCCCAACTCCCCCTTCCCTGCAGAACAGCTCGGTGTGGCAGAGAGGATCAGTTACGACACGCCTGTGGCGGCGAGATGCCCTCCTGTCATCTGCAGCCTGGGGTCATCTCGTCATGGCCTGTGTGCTCCATCAAACTGCTCGCCAGTGATTATAAATGGTGTGGCTTTCAGAAATGGAGGACCACTGAAAATCAGGTCTAGAGCAATGCTCACGTTCGGATACTTCCAGTGACTAGTTGTGCTGGTCGTGTGCTCAGAGCAGAGGACTGCTCTGTCCTCTGACGGCTGCTCCGTCTTGACTGCACATGTGGCAATGGCCTGGCCTAGAGTAGAGTTGTATTTCACGTGTCGTTTTGCTGACAGACAGGCACCTCCGCATGTAGATCTCCCAGGTAACTGGCTACTTACTTCCTATCTTAAGTACAATACCCATCCATTTCTTTGTAAGGATTTAGAGTCATTACCAGGAACATCAATTACTGGAGTAGTTAGGTAACTATGTCTTCAGGGGTACAGGGATTCACTGGGCTTGCCACCTCGCACCAAGTGGCCTGTTCAGACTAATTGGCTGTGGGCTGGAAAAGCAAATAAAACAAAATCTTGTTAGGTTTGTTTGTAGAAGGAGACTCATTTCAGGCAGCAGGCCTTTAGGGAACACCTGCTATGCTCTCCCACCATTCAGTTGTTGGGGGCTGGAAGCCCTGTCTTTTCATTAGCCCAGTGCCTGGCACATAGTAGCCACTTACTACATGTGTTTATTACACACATACATGAGCAAAATGCATGAGTTCTGTGACCCCAGGCCCACTTCGTGGAGGCCTCGTCTGCTTACTTCCGGGGCTGTGGCCATATTCCAGATGGCGGAGATGCACAGTGATTCCTACTCAAGTAACCAGAATGTGCCATCCTTGAACAATGTGGGACCAAAGACAGAGAAGCTCTGTCTTCTCGTCATCCCTCACTGGTGAATGAGAACCTGTGATCTGGGAAAGCGCCCAGCCATGGGGACACACACCTGGCAGAGCCAGACACTCAGTGTTGAACTGAAGGACAGATGCCAACACTTCAGAGTTTCAGAATGAATCAAGGCCCACTGCTATAAAAATGTTTATTTTTAACACTCAGGCCCCCAAAGGCAATGGAAGTAGCTCTCTAACAAAATTTGTTTCTTAAATTAGCCAAATGAAAATCTGAGAAATATGGGGGGGAACCCACCTTGACCCAAACTGTACACACTCCCTTCACTCTGCCCCTAACAACAGAAAAGGCAAACATTCACCTCCTTTCCCTCCTGTTATGTTATGTTATGTTTTATGTTAGGAAAGCTCCGATCCTTGGTGTTGAGCGGTGGTTCTTTGCCACTGACCCATGCCCCACGAGCCTTTGCTCAGGTGCCTGGAGCAGGCACACAAAGAGGCTGGAGCGTCCCAGAACCCTCAATACCACTCCTGCCAGCCACTCATACCCTCAGGGGGCAGCCTCATCCCATTCCCTTGCCCTGTTTACTCTCTAACATGTCTTCAATTCAATCCGACTCACAAAGACATCCAGGAAGCAGCCACTAAATGCAAGGAATTGTGTAGGGGGCTCCCACAAGGGAGGATGAGGCCAATAATGTGTGTGCACTGCCCTGTGCAGGCCCTGCCACACGCCTCTCCCAGCTCCCAACCTGGTAAGACCAGTCTCGCTGGCTTTTCCCCACTGCCTGCCAGTCCCATGTGTGGAGCTTTGTAGCCCGGTACTGGCAGGAGCGTATGCTCAAATCAGTATTTGATGAGTGGATATGTAAGTCACAGGCACGCCCACAATAATCCTAACAGAGGTTTCTAAATGAGTAGCAAGACAGAAAGCAAACAGTACCCCCAAAACGCAGGAGTGAGATAAACAGACTTTTTCATGGCCAGGGCTTCTGAAGAGGTGGGATCTCTGCCTGGCTTTAGAAATGAATCCAAGCAAGAAGAAAATTAATTTATTTGGGCTACAATTATCTTAACTTGTGTAAGAATCCAAAAGGACTATACATTTTATACCCATTTTAGATGATTCTTAGAAAAACAAAGAATGAACCATGAATCACTGTTTCATTCTGTTTGTTTTATGAGACGTTTCAGTCACTAAACTTTTTTCAAAGGGTGTGGTCCAGAGGAACGTACTTTATCTTCTGCGTCAAGATCTGCCAGCCAAGGAAGGTGTCCAGACAGGCAGAGTGCTCCAGTCTCTCCAGGAAGAGCTTTACAGAGGTTTACATCGTCTCTCCCTCCTGCCTCTGTCATCCTCAACCTCCAACAAAAAACTTTAAAAGTAAAATATTGTGCCTCCAAACCAAACTCTACACATTAAAGTTCACTGAGGGAACCAGGAAGGCAGAAGTTAAATTTGCTTTTCTGCCTCCTAGCTGGCCGCCTTCTTATCAAACCCACTCATGTACAATCTCAGACGCCCAACAATGGGTCTTCATTTCAGAACCAAGTCTGGGATTTGGACAGGCTAAGAGTTCTTACACTTACAACTGGCTCGTTGACCACCTCCCAGCTTTCTAGAACTATTAACAA